TTGATATGCTGAATCTAACCATGTATTTAGATTTTTGATTTTTGGGCCCCGTTATCAACTTTGTCCACATTGAGGTCAAAAGGGTCCAAAATTAAACTTTGTTTGATTTCATCAAAAATTGAATTATTGGGGTTCTTTGATATGCTGAATCTAACCATGTATTTAGATTTTGGATATTGGACCATAATAGGTGAATGTCCAATTTAAAATTTTTAAGTTCTTAGACCACATTCAATCTGTGTTAGAAACCTATGCTGTGTCAAATATTTAATCACAATCCAAATCCAAAGCTGTATCAAGCTTGAATGTTGTGTCCATACTTCCCGCAACTGTTCAGGGTTCGACCTCTGCGGTCGTATAAAGCTGCGCCCTGCGGAGCATTTTATTTCATGAATCATAATAGGAAATTCAGAAGTAACCAAGAACATTTGATGTCATAATTAAATTTTGATCAATCATTTGCTGAGAACAAAGTTTTATCTAGAGATGAGAAATATTTTTCTCACACCAGTCAAAAAAATGTAAAAAAGCATGAAAATTAGAGAAATATGATTCTTGAATAACCATTACATTAATCATGCTAGAGACCAAAAGTTTCTGAAACCAATTCATGAAACATTTGAGAGCGTCGTAACCAATAAGACCTTAGTTTTAGTACCATTCCATAATATATAAACGGAAATTAAGAATATTCATTACAGTTGTTGGTTTTTTTCACATCTGTCCCAAATTAAACTTAAAGGGAGGATGTTTGTATTATGAATAAAAGGAGATGAGCGTTATACATCAATGAAACAGCAACCAAAAACACGCACAAAACATAGGACATCTAGAGGGCAAAATTGAGAGTCCATATGGTAGATGTTTGAGACATTTTGAATGTGTGTTTTTTCCATCATGCCCAATCTATTTGTTCTTGCTCAGTTTGTTTTTGAACTTTGGTTTATTTGTTAAAAAACTATGATGACTGAAAATTCCATCCATGTCTGTTTACTGTGCATGACAGTGAGCAGAAAGTCTTTATGCTGATCAGTCAGTTTTCTCATTATTTACTTTTCAAGATATGTTAAGCAATTTATAAATATGCTATGAGAATGACTATTCAACGGCAGACTTTATTCAAAGATTTGTATGAATTATGCTGCTCCTCTAACTATTTCATTGTGGAACATATTTTCATTAAAACTTAGTTACCTGGAATCACATTTTGATTATATCTTTAAAAATCTAACCAGTCTGAAATAATTTGGCAGGCAAATGTAAGGAAAAATCCAGATATTTAAATGGTGAAATTCTGCTGGCAGGTAGACAGTTTCCTTGCAATAACCCATGAACATGCATGAAATATTTGCCACTGGACGTTAAGCAAACAACAATCAAATAATCCTTGATAGATTGGAATATAGCACTTTATGTTATTTCTGTGCAATTACCCATGAACTTTTCAACCAAAGCTTTTCAAATTTAAATATTTTGTTACTGATGACAAAATGGGTGTCAAGTTCTACATTGAAAATTTTCATTTTTTATTGTTCAGGAGATATGATCCTTAATGGATTGGGAAAAATAAGCACAGAACATGACAGCTCAACCTTACATTAAAGCGCCATACATTAGAATATATATATAAAAAAAAAATTGTCCCCCGTGCAACACGTTGCGGGGGACATGGAAATACCAGGCGTCCGCCCATCCGGTCTTGTTAGCGCTCTCACATGTACAATTCTAGCCAGATTTTTATGAAACTTATATCATCGGTTTATATCAGCAATGTCTTGGATGAGTTCGAAAATCAGTGCAGATAAATTATTTTTAAAAGAGTTATGCCCCTTGGAAACATTAGTTTTATGGAAATTGCATTGTTAGCGCTCTCATGTGTACAATTCTTGCCAGAATTTTATGAAACTTATATCATAGGTTTATATTAGCAATGTCTTAGATGAGTTCGAAAATCAGTGCTGTTTAATTATTTTTAAAAGAGTTATGCCCCTTGGAAACATTGATTATATTGAAAATTGCATCGTTAGCGCTCTCATTTGTACAATTCTTACCAGATTTTTATGAAACTTATATCATAGGTTTACATTAGCAATGTCTTGGACGAGTTCGAAAATCAGTGCCAATCAATTACTTTTAAAAGAGTTATGCCCCTTGGAAACATTAATTTTATGGAAAATTGCATCATTAGCGCTCTCATTTGTATGATTCTTGCCAGAATTTTATGAAACTTAAATCATGGGTTTATATTAGCAATGTCTTTGACGAATAAGAATATCAGTGCCGATCAATAATTTTTAAAAGAGTTATGCCCCTTGGAAATATTAATTATATGGAAAATTGCCTTATGAGCCCTCTAATGTATACAATTCTTGCCAGAGTTTTTTGAAATTTATATTATAAGTTTATATCATCAATGGATTTGAAGACACTTTCGAAAATAAGTTCTGATCAAATATTTTTAACGAGTTATGCTCTTTGGAAATACAAATTATAATGGAAATCGCATTGTATTTGCTCTGAAACCTTCATTTCCCTTAAGATATTAATAAAATGTTTTAAAGAATGAAAAAAATGTGCTTTTTTTAATTATCGCCCTTGTACCTTGGATAGATAAAATATGTGCAACGCAGGGGACATTGGAACTCTGTTCTTTTAAAGGAACTCTGTTCTTTTATTTACTTTAAAAGTTATGTTGGAACATAGGGATGATAATCAAGCAACAGCATCAACGGCGTTAATTATTTGTATAAATACCTATATGCCTCATACCTTGTATAGAGATGTTTTTTGTTTCTGTCTGTCATATGTCCTTTGTCCTTGACATTATTTTATGGTCTATCGAAGGTCGGTGGTTTTCTCTGGGCACTATGGCTTCCTCCACCAATAAAAACTGGCCGCCACGAAATAGCCCAAAAGTGGTGCTTAAAAGTGGCGTTAAAACACCAAAAAATCAAAAAATCAAATTATTTTATGGTTCAGTGACTTCTTAAAAAAATTGTATATGATAGTTTGTAATGTGAATTTCTCACTTATTATGAGTAATAGGATAACTATCTTTGGTATATGTGATATTTGAAAAGTCTGCTTGGCCATCAGACATTGTTCAGCTGACCTCGACCTTATGTCATCAATGTTCAAGGTTAAATTTTCGTAGTCCATATCTGATATGCTATAAGCAACTACATTTGATTATGGAATGACTGTAAGGTGTACATTTCTGACTGTCCTTGACCTCATTTTTATGGTTAATTGGTCAATGTTAAGCTTTTGTGGTTAGATCTGTATCATAGATATTATAAGCAATAGATCAACTGTATTTGGTGTATTGAATGATTGAATTGTGTACATATCTGTCTAGCAGGTTTCATCTGACCTTGACCTTTTTCATGGTTCAATGGACGCAGTTCAGTTTTTATATTGGTATCTCGTCGTCAGCGTCGTCCGAAGACATTTGGTTTCCGGACAATAACTATGGTATAAGTAAATAGAAATCTATGAAATTTAAACACAAGGTTTATAACCACAAAAGGAAGGTTGGGATTGATTTTGGCGGTCGAATCCAGCTGCGCTCGGCGAAGCAATTTATTGTGGTTTGGCCTGTTTCTCAAGTACTATAAGCAATAGTTCAACTAAATTTGGATTATGGAATGATTGTAAGGTGTACATGTCTGTCTGACAGGTTTCATCTGACATTGACCTAATTTTTCTGAGATAATATAAGCAATAGGTCTAATATATTTAGTACTAGTATATGGAATGATTGCTTGGTGAACATGTAGTCTAGCAGGGTTGAACTGACCTTGGCTTCATTTTAATGGTTCCTTGGTCAACATTAAGTTTCGTAACCAGATCTATACTTTAAGTAATATGTTTACTATATTTGGTGTATGGTATGATTGTAAGGTGTACATGTCAAACTGGTAGGGTTCATCTGACATTGACCTCATTGGCATGGATCATTGATAATTTTTAGTTTGTGTGAGACATTTTAGTGTGTGCACTCTTGTTTTTGCTTTTCTTTCTTCTTACCTCTGTAGATTTATCACTATTCACAACATTTTATTCATTGCCTCCATATTCTAAGTGTCTTAACTGGGAGCCTTGTCCATGCAAAACCAAGTCCCTGCTTTCATGCCTATTGATCCATTTGAAAAAGGAACAAGTAAAAGATCAGTTATAGATATGTCTGTGTTAACTTCATGTACAAGAGTTCCATTTCACAAACAAAGAGTATTTCTTGAAACAAAAACATAACTGTTGGTAATATGATATTGGTCTATCAAAGTTGTCTTTCGACAAACGCTTTGATTGCTTGCAATAACTTATGTTCTCCATAAAGAATATTGTTTGCTAAAGTGCATATTGTTCCTTGGTATTATTTGAACTCACATTCTGATATCTGATACATATATCTTTATGTAGCGTTTCCTAAAATAGCAATAATTTAATTCACATTTTTGTTCATTCTTCAATGCATTCGCAATAATAAATGCACGCAATAATTTCTGAATTTACAGTATAGTAAAATCCAGATCTAAACCCGTCTGTTTTTGAAAAGTACATAAAAATCAAGTACAGACATGACAGATGTCAGTTTACACGGACTTTAATTTAGAGAATTGAAATGTTTGTGTTAAGCTGTTCCTGATGTAGCCAAATGTCTATTGGAATACACCTTGATACAGAAGACGTAATGGTTGACAATTTGTTGCAGTTGAATATATGATAAGGAGCCTTTGGAGGAATGACTGGTAAACAAGTTAATCAAATTAAGGATTATACAAAAAATGAAAACAAAAGTAGGTGTATTTGTTTACTTAAGTATTGCTTGGGAAATTGTTCTTTGACAAGTCACCTGAAAATGAGGGAGAGAGAGAGAGAGAGAGAGTGAAGATGATATTAAATGTCCTATTGTGTGTACTATGAAAGTTGATTTTGAGAAGAGTTTTTATTTTATGATAACCAATATTTAAATGCTTTTGATTGTCTTTTATAAATAGCAACCGCAAGTCAAGTTACCAGATCCAGTCATTAATAAGGAGAACCTTGCAGAGGTGGGTTTACCTTTATAAAATTTGATTTAAGTAGAAGGATGCTTGATAAATACTTGGAATTCTAACAAGTTAATGGTGAATTTGAGAAAAGAGAAAAAGACTTTATATATTGTTCATTATTTGAAGATAGGAATGTCAATTACATGTAAGAGGAATGTCAATTACATGTAAGATATACATTAATATTTATATGGGAGGTGTTTTTATTAGAAATAGACACTGTGGTTATTTTTTCAAATCCCACATATACTTGATATTTGTAAATCATAGATCCATACTGACATCATAAGATCTGAAGTACACGCCATGAAAATTGCCTTATTACACTTTGTGCCTTTGCATTTAAACAGTAACCAAAAATATTAATGGCTACATATCAAATTCTGAAACTAATATCAAATTTTTTCATATGGATTTGCCGTCGATTTATGAAAAAATAGTTTTATGAAATGCATCAAAAGAATGAAATTTATTGTAGATTGCAGATTTGGTGACAGCAGTAGGATCTGAGGAGGACAAGATTAAAGCAATGATGACACAGTCTACTAAAGACTTTGATCCAGCCAAGTATGAACTCTTAAAATACTCATTGGGATAAAAGTTAATTGCATAATGTGTTGCTCTTTATGAATAGTCAGCTTGTAAAAGATAATATTTCAAGACATGGAACACTAATTTAAAGCTTTAAGAACAAAATTTTGAAGAAAAGGGGTGAAAAAGTACTGATATATCATATGGTTCTAAATTTTATCTTAAAAGAAAGATTGATAAGTTGTATGACTTATTATTGGTTAACCAAATTGGACATTTTTTTAATGCTGTAAGGAAGAGTGATCATGTAAAAGATTTATTATAATTTCAGTTATCAAAAGAAGCTGCCAACAGGAACACCATCACCATCCTATATATGTTTTAAATGTAACAAGCCTGGACATTTCATCCATAATTGTCCAAATGCTGCTGCCAACACCGTAAGTTTGAGAAGTATTTAGTGAGACCATTTCATCCTTCATTTACTGCCAACAAAGTCAGTTTTATATGTAACAAGCCAGGACGTTTTATATCTCACAAGTACGGACATTTCATCCTTAATTGTCAGCACAATAATTTTTTTATAGAGCCAGGTCATATCACCCTTAACTGCCAGCACAGTGAAATTTTTATAACAAGCTTGGACACTTCATTCATTCCCAATGCTCTCATTCGTAGAGTAAGTGTTTCAGGACACTAATGCTAATGTTGATATAGTAGGCTTACATTAGGAGATTATATAAGATACATGTAAGACAGAACAGTTCCCTATAGTGTTCTTAGAGATAGCGTGTAATACTCACCATGATAGTCAACTAATTTGCCATTTCAGAATCAATAGGTCTGTGTGTATTTCAATATTTGTATTCCAAAATAAGATTAACTTTAAGCAATTGTTTAAATGTGAAAACCATGTACACTGTTCTCTGTATGTATTTTGTTATAAAATGTCAAAATATTAAAACATTGTGGTTAATAGTAAAAGTTTTATAAATTTCAGGAAACAACTGGCTCTCCTAAAACAACAGAAGTAAATGACATTAGAATGAAGAGACCAACAGGGATTCCTCATACTTTCCTTACTGTTGCCAAAAAATCTGAACCTGGAGCTATGTCACTTGGAGGGGGCAGATTTGCTGTGCCTACTATAGATCAGTATGTATTTTCTTAAAGGATTGTGTAGTGTATAAAGCTCATCAATGTTTCTGTGCGACAGCAGATCAGGTAGTGAATAAAAAGATGCATGTACTTATAAAATTATAATAAAAGTAAGAAAACATGGTATGAATGCCTTGAGACAACTCTCCACCAGAGACAAAATGACGTAGAAGTTTAGCAACTATAAGTCACTGTACAGCCTTCAACAATGAGCAAAACCATAATGCATAACAAGCTATAAAAGGCCCAGAAATGATAAATGTAAAACAATTCAAACTAGAAAACTAACGGCATGCATGACTCGGTCGTCACATGGTCTAGTTAAAATTGGTTCTAGTCTTTTAATAGTCTGAGATTGCTCTGACATCTGATGGCCTTTTTTTTAGGAATGACTGGGGCCATGGGGCAGCAAGTTTCTATCTTGAAATAGTAATAGATTCATTTTCATGTAGATAAATCATACATCATTCAATTGCTTATTTGTTTTACTCTGTGAATATGTAACTCCTATTTTAATAAGTTGAGAACTATTCTACCAATGCTTTTCAAACTTAAACATGTTACTGATGCCAGTTAACCTGCGAAAGGTATGTGGTTCTCTTCAGGCACTACAGCTTCCTTCACTAATGAAAAGGTTGATTTTTAATGTATTTAAACCATAAATGTTTAGAAAAAATAAAATAAATGAAATATAATGACTTCTTTCACAGGGAAGCATTTAAGAAAGGAAAGAAAGAGAGACCACCATTTTTACCAGCTCTACCAGAAGAGAAGAGAGAAGATGTGTCAGTACCTTCAGAACTAACATGCTTATTATGTAAAGATCTATTAACAGATGCTGTAGTTATACCATGTTGTGGAAATAGTTACTGTGATGAATGTAAGTGCATTTTTACTAGAAAGCAATAAAAAAAAAAAAAAAGGAGATGTGGTATGATTGCCAATGAGACAACTATCCACCAAAGTTCAAATGAAGTGGATGTAAGCAATTATAGGCAAAATTTGGTTTAATAGTGGTATTTGAAAAAAAAAGGTACGAGTTAGAACACATGGTCAAAAATTTTCAAAAAGGCAAAGAAAAAAAATCTTATTTATATAAAGGGTTATACTTTAAAGTTGGAATGTTAAATTTGCTGAAAAATGGAACTCAGCATATATTTTATAGTTCATTACATTTTGTGAAAATTTTCATCATTTGATACTTTTAAAAATATTATCTGGAAATCAAAGTTGTGAAATAGGTGAATCCTCTGACATGAAGACCAACCTATACCTTGAACACTTTTAGGTATGGTATAAAATTGTGAAAAAGATCTTAAGAAAAAGAAAAACGAACTTAGCTACGTAAATTTTGGGCTCAATGTTACTAATTGTTGTCACAATAATGAATTGCCTTTTTAAGTTTTATAAAGTATGGTTATGTTACATACTACAACAATGTACAGTATGTTCCTGTTGTAGAATTTCTACACTAAATTGAATGGAAATTGTCAGTTTATGGTCAGAAAATGTGATCTTCCAACTATCCTATTTGTTCATTACAGGTATAAGAAATCATTTAGTAGAGGATGATGATCACAAATGTCCCACTTGCCATGAGGAAAATGTCTCGCCCGATAAATTAATTATCAACAAGTCATTACGAGTCTCTGTAAATAACTTCAAGAATGAAACATTGTATCAGAAACGAGAGAAGCAAAAGTCTCCCTCACCCCCTCCACCACCCCCACCAAGGATAACACCTTCAACCAGTACACCAATGACAACAGAAGTTACTTCATCTCCACTTAGGTTAGATACAAGGTTAGTATTCTACAATGTGAGAGGGTTCAAACAATTTTTGTTTCTACCTTATGAGTGGTTATGGCAGCATGTTCACTATGAAATGTATAGGAAAATTGTTTATTGCTTTACTGTTATTTCATTTTTATAGTATAAAAAAATTCTAAGGGCTGTTTCCTAAAAACATACATCGGACCCAGGGAAGGCACTTCCAAATCTCAACTATGGGTGGGTATCATCTATGTTTTTGCATAGTGGAAATGTTAGTGAAATTTTAATTTGCCTATATAGGTGGTTACCCCATTTTTTAAGTGCCTTCCCTGGGTAACATGTATGTTTTAATTTGTGTAATCAAAAGAGAGAATTTATAAGATGAAAGTTTACATCATTTATGTTATCAATCATTGTAAAATGAATTTTGTTAATCACATTATAAGAAGTCATTGCTATATATTACATTTTGATTAAAATTTTCAGTAAAACAATAGATTTAACAGCCGACACTGAACCAGAAACACCTGTATTAGATGAGAATAAAGCGATAGAAGAAATTGGAAAGGTAATAAAGAATTATAGAAAAGTTCCACTAGATAAAGGGAACTTATAACCATGTATCAAAAGAACTATTTTGTATGTTGATCATTTTCTTGACATTTACGGAAAATCTTCTCTAATGATCCAAACAGCCTACATGTTTATATAAGGTAGATGTATGTTATCATACAGCTTTCAACAATCAGGAAACCCCATACTGTAAAGTAAGCTGTAAAAAGCCCATGCATGACCAAATGTGAAACAATTCAAGAAAAGCAATGGTCTAATTTATGTTGAAACTAATATGACAGACAGCAATCAAGCCAGTTTATGATCTGTAAAGACACAATAAACATAATTAATTTAATCTTTTACTGCTACATATGATATTGGGAATAATCAGTACATGATTATACTGATGAAATCTATCTACAAACACTGTCAGTCATTGACTGACAATGAACAGACAACAGTTTATTTATGAGAATTATAAACATACATGTATACGACAATCATAGGGGACATTCATTTGTGAAAATATTGACAAGTTGAATTAAATATTGAATCGGACTATGTAAACTTAGGGACTGAACATATGTAGTTTGCAAACTAAGACTTTTAGTTAGTAAATGTACTGGCTACACTTAAAACTGATCATAAATATTGATTATTCAGTAATAACAAATAAACGTCTAGATTTACTACAGGCGTATTTATTCCAAGAAAATGTAGATTTCGTTTCTCCTAAAAAAAACACAGATTTCCCACATAGAAAGTGGAGTGAATAAGTACAAAGATAAAAAAAAAATAGAAACATATGTTGATGGTTATAAAAAAAAAAAACAAGTGTAAGCTTAGGGAAAAGATAAAAATCTATTAGCTAATAAAAAAATAAATGTATAAAAACTTTAAAAATGACTTTCAAATGTACTAACTATAAGTATGTTGTTTCAGGGTATTGCTGTTTTGAGTGGAAGAAAGGCTGTTACTACAGGTATGCTATAGTCTCACTGAAAAATTTATCTAATGGATATCACTTAGTTATTGTAATCATAATGTAATCACTGTTTAAAATGTATCTACAGTGGAATTTTCTTCTCAATTTAACTCTGTTAAACAAACCAAAAGAAAAATAAAAGAACAGACCAATGCTAAGACGGATTTGAAACAAGTGCATTTAATGCCAGTGTTACAGATTAAACTATTATTGTTAGTAATTGTCTTAAATATAGATCCCAGCTAGTAACTTTGTGAACTAAAATGGCAAACAAATGCATTGTTGCTTTTTGATTTCGACACTTAGATCATACTTCCTATTCATCAGTATTGAGTTCCTTCATATTATTGGAGAGACCATACTTTATGACTTAAATACATTATTCTGGTCAAGTTAAGATGTGAACATTCGTCTCAAATAAATAGTATGCAGCTGGACAAATTCTTTGTCGGGTTGGTTCATGTTATTTACAACAAGTTCTTTCTTTACTGATTATTTTGTTTCACTTAAGAGTGTAATTTGAATTATAATGTAATCACTTTCTAAAATATATGAACAGCTGATTTTTTTCTTCCCTATTCAACTCTGTTCAACAAACAAAACAAAATGTACAGTTATAAAAAAGAACAACTTAAATCCTGTAAAGAAAGCTATATGGGGAAAAATATACTTCACAAATAAAGTCTCCTAAGTGAAATTGCCAGTCTATGGAAATTCATTAATCAACAGATCATGTCATAGTTAGGTCTGATCTAGATTTAATATTTACTATTTTCATAATTGTATATTTATCTTTATATTTCAGACAAAGACCAGACTTCAACATCAAACAGGTAAAGATCAAGAAAAAATGAAATAAGACAAATAAAAATCATTTAAATTTTTCATTATTTATTGTACAGGTGTATGATAAAAGTTTACATAGATGTAGTGCATGTATTGTTAAGCATAATTAATTGATACTGAAATAGACCAGTAATAAAGGAGAAGGGGCAGGGCATTAAGGCTGGGTTTTGGTCCAAGAAAATAAAGTTTTTGATATCTACTTCAAATTTGCACATAATGTTTGAAAATGCCTAAAATCAAGAAAAATAAATGAATTACATAATTTATGACAATTACGTCATATGTAACGTTTTTATGAAAATGAAGAAAACTGCAGAATTTTTGCAGTTTTCCATCGTTATTTCCATTGTGGAAACTGTGTGAAACAACCAATTAATCTAAGAAAATCTGTAATATAATTATTGACATAATCTAACCAATTATAAAGTGGGGTGGGCACATATTTTTCCAATCTAATATATACTAAAGAAGTTGATGTAAAACAAGGAAATCAATAAATTTTACAAAAACTACAAATTTGTCGTGGTTTGTTGCCATGGTAACTTGTTAAATGCGAAATTTGTTTTTATTTTTGTACAGTATAGGACAAATTTCTAAATAGTATGGTAACTTTTCAGTTTGCGCTATAATTTGGGCCAGATAAGGGCCTTATTGCCCCTACTCCTTTATTATATTAAATAAATATTAATCCTTCATAATTATAGGACAGTTTGATTAAAATCAGATCTTTCACTTTGCTTTGTTAGATTTGTTTGTCACTGTGTGTATGTGTCAGATCTGAAGACATGATAAACAATCCAACAGAGCAATGTGAAAGATCTTATTTTAATCAGATTGGAATATATAAGTTTAATTTATTAGTTTAAAATGTTTTGATATATCCTGTAGATTATTGAAATAATTGGTTTTACATCTTATAATGTTGGTATAAACATATTTGTTTGTCATCATTACAAATGTATCATCATACAAAAATACACTATGAAATAGTATTCGGAAACAAGCTGTACATAACTTATATTAATCCATTTCCTTGAAATACCAACTCCAATTAAGTTTAACATATTTTTATAATGTTAATTGTACACTGAATATGATAAAAAATACTCCAGTATCCTTGTTCAAACAAGAAACATTTGTATTGCTGTTTTTCATCCCAGACCAGACATCTTCAGGAATAAAGACCTGACATTCCACAGAAAGTATTGAAGTACATTTCAGACAGTAATGATTTATTGTTTTCTCAAGTTGTTTGTTACATCTATACATATATTGTAACTGAATTAATTGTCATATATTTTAAATGAATGACTAATGTAAAAATGTATTCATTATACAGACCAGTAGAGTCCAAGTCTTCAGTCTCTGTAGAGAATTATGTTCCTCCAGTACAAGTACCTATACCATCCTTAGGAGCATACAGACCATCCATGCCACCTGGTAGGTGCTTGTCATACTTTGGCAATATTGGTATATTGGCCACCTTAATGCCTAACTAAAATGTTTTTTATGCCCCCGCCGTAGCAGAGAGGGCATTAAGGTTTACCCTTTTCAATGTGTATGTCCGTACGTCCCGTAATTGTTTTCCGTTCTCTAACTTTAGTTTCCATTGACCCAATGTCATGAAACTTATACACAAAGCTTATTACCACAAAACATAGATCAATTTCAAATTTGGGTGGCGTCACTTTTACCATTCTTGAGTTATGCCCCTTTATAAATGGAAAAGTTGCTGAATTTATCGTTTCCGTTCTCTGAACTTTAGTTTGCCTCAACTAAATGTTATGAAACTTATACAGAAAGCTGATTACCATAAAACACAATTTGGGTGGTGTCACTTTTACAGTTCTCTAGTTATGTCTCTTTATAACATTATATGCAAGCGGGGGCATCATCTATGTCCCATGGACCCATTTTCCATTTATTTCTTCAAATTTTTTTTAATGTTCATAAGATTACATTGGAATATAAAGAAGTTCAATGGGAAAATGTCTTTAGGTGCTCTTAATTCTCATCTCTAAATGGTTAACTTTGAAATTTAAATGGGAAGTTTTCTATTTTTAAGTCTCTTAAGTTTCTATGAAATTAGTGCAGTAAAAAAAGTTTGATAGTGTTTATGCTCCTCACAATAACAAAGTTTGCTTCATTTCTCCAATTGAATCAATAATTTTACCATGGTCATAGAAATTTTTAAAGGGGTAACATTAACTTCAATGTGAAAAACAATTAAATGAAGGGACACAATGACAAAATTTAATGGAATTTAAGGGTCAATAATAAAATGCAGAGCCTGCAATGTAGGCAAATCCTTGGTCAGATAAAAAACAATACCTTTTTAAATTGCTATTTATAGCTGCTGTCCTATATAAACATACAGAACTTGAGGAACAAGAACAATTAAGGGTTGGTTTGCAGTCGCATTTATATGTTTTTAAAAGCTTTGACATTATTTCAATTGTTTCATTTAATGAATATGAAAAAAATTTTGAACTTTGGTAGAAAGTTGTCTCATTGGCAATCATACCTCATCTCCTTATTTTTATATGGAAAAAAAATATTTTAATTGGAAAATGTTTAAAATCTGTGTTAGTACTGTTTTTATATTTCTGCATGTAAGATATTTAATGAGTGTTTCTTAAATGAACTCTTGTTATGAAAAAAAAACCCAACTGTCAATGATATAGGGTTTTAGTATTAACAGTTATGTATGAAATTCATGCTGAAACTTTACATAACAATCATCTTTGAAATTGACAAAATTAACACAGGGCATCAGGGAACATCAGTACACGTCAAATTTTAAGGATTATAGATAACAAATCTTACATATTATGTATAGGATAAAAATTCCATCAAATTAAATAATATTGTATTCTCCTTTCCATATCCTTCCTTTGTGAATTTTTATGCCCCCGCCGTAGCGGTGGGGGCATTAAGTTTTACCCTTGTCCGTCTGTACGTAGTACGTACATACGTCCGTCCGTACGTCCCGAAATTGGTTTCATTCTCTAACTTCAGTTTGCCTCAACCAAATGTTATGAAACTTATACACAATGCTTATTACCACAAAACACAGATCAAGTTTGAATTTTGGTGGCGTCACTTTAACCGTTCTAGAGTTATGCCCCTTTATAAATGGAAAAATTGCAAAATGTTTAGTTTCCCTTCTCTAACTTAATTTTGCCTCAACCAAATGTTATGAAACTTATACACAATGCTTATTACCACAAAACACAGATCAAGTTTGAATTTTGGTGGTGTCACTTAAACTGTTCTAGAGTTAAGCCCCTTTATAAATGGAAAAATTGCAAAATTTTTAGTTTCCGTTTTCTAACTTAAGTTTGCCTCAACCAAATGTTATGAAACTTATACACAATGCTCATTACCACAAAACACAGATCAAGTTTGAATTTTGGTGGCGTCACTTTAACTGTTCTAGAGTTATGCCCCTTTATAAATGGAAAAATTGCAAAATTGTTATTTTCTTCTGAATATCAAGTTATTTTTAAAATTGGAGTTATCTTCCTTTGTCCATGATTATAGTTGTATCAGCTACAATCAATGCTTTATACAATGCAATGTTTGATTTTGACTACCACTGATAAAATACAGATCAAGTTGAATTTGGGTAGTGTAACTTTAACCATTATTGAGTTATGCCCCTTTATAAATCGAAAGATTGCAAAAATTTTAGTTTCCATTCTGTAACTTAAGTTTGCCCCTTCCAAACATTATGAAACCTATACACAATATTCATTACCACAAAACTAAGATCAAGTACAAATTTTTTGTTTCCGTTTTTTTTTTTGGGATCGTATAATGGTATGATGTCATCGTCTGCGTCTGTGTCGTCGTCGTCCGAAGACACATTGGTTTCCGGACAATAACTTTAGTTTAAGTGAATGGATCTTTATGAAATTTTTTAAGAAGGTTCAATACCACAAAAGGAAGGTTGGGATTGATTTTGGGGATGATGGTCCCAACCATTTAGGAATTAGGGGCCAAAAAGGGTCCCAAAACAAGCATTTTTCTAGTTTCAGGATAATAACTTGTGTATAAGTATTTCAATTGCTCTGAAATTGTACCACAATGTTTAATACCACAAGTAGAAGGTTGGGATTCATTTTACAAAAACAAACATTTTTCTAGTTTCCAGACAATAACTTGTGTGTAAGTATATGGATCTCTCTGACATTGTACCACAAGGTTCCATATAACAAAGGGAAGATGGGATTGAGTTTGGGGTTAATTACCCCAAACATGTAGGAATTAGGGGCCAAAAAAGGGCCAAAAACAAGCATTTTTCTAGTTTCCAGACAATAACTTGTGTGTAAGTGTATGGATCTCTCTGAAATTGTACTACAAGGTTCCATACTACAAAGGAAAGGCTGGGATTGAGTTTTGGGGTTATTGCTCCAAGGGGGGTTTCAAAAAGTTGGGGGGGGAGGGGGGGATTTTTTTCCCAATTTTTTTTTAAGGAATTCATATTTTTTTTTCCAAATTTTTAAAATTTCGAATTTTTGAAAAGTTTCAAGAAGAAATCTTCAATTGCACAGTATTGCGCAATGGATTTATAAGATCTTTGACCATATTTATTTTGTGTCAGAAACCTATATTATGTCAAAAATTTGATTACAATCCAAATTCAGACAGTATCAAGCCTGAATATTGTGTCCAAATTTGCCCCAACTGTTCAGGGTTCGACCTCTGCGGTCGTATCAGGCTGCGCTCAGCGAAGCATTTTATCTAACTTTAGTTTGCCTCAACCAAATGTTATGAAACTTATACACAATGCTTATTACTACATAATACAGATTAAGTACGAAATTTGGTGGCGACAATTTAACCATTCTTGAGTTATGTCCATTTATAAACATAAAAATTGATGAATTTATCGTTTGCGTTCTCTAACTTTAGTTTGTCTCAACCAAATTTTATAAAACTTATACACAACCGTTCTAGAGTTATGCGTGTTTACAAATAGAAAAATTGCTGAATTTTTAGTTTCTGTTCTCTACTTAAGTTAGCCTCAACCAAATGTTATGAGACTTACACACAATGCTTATTACCACAAAACTCAGATCAAGTTCAAATTTGGGAAGCGTCACTTTTACTGTTCTTCAGTTATGTCCCTTTATAACTATATGATATGCAAGCGGGGGCATCATCTGTGTCCACATCTGGACACTATCCACATTTATTTCTTAATCATTAGTTCTTTATGTACACTCATTGTATCTGCAAAAGTAAACAGTTAAAGATGATATTATTTTGATTATATAATTCTTGAAAAGTTCTTTTCCTTATTTATTTATAATATTTATTTAAAAAAATGAATTTCACTTGTATTTTCATTTTATAGCTTCAACTGTGCAAAAGTATATTAATAACATACTTTTTTATTTCAGCATCTCTACCAAACACTACTTTACCGCCCCCAGGATACAGACCACCTTTGTTATACCCTCCTAGTCTAGTCCCTCCACCACCATATGGTGTACCACCAGGATTTATACCACCTCAGGTGTCCAAACCTCTTTCAGAACATGAATTTTACAGAGAAAAGAAGAGGCTTTTAAAAAACAAGTACGTAAAATTTTGCAATCAGTCAATACATTGAAACATTTCTTACAAAGCTAAAAAATTTATATGGATCAGACATGTATGTTGTTTACAAAGGTTAAATTAACTAAAGAATATTCATTGTATGTCTGATATCAAAGTTAAATTAAGGCAACTTCACTGTTTATACAAAGTGTGATTTAGACAGGTTAGCCTATTATCAACACAAACCATTGAGGGTATATGACCCTATCGGGAGAAGTTGGTTCCTTTATTCATATGTGCATTTGTGAATAACAATGTTGCATGCATCAGACTTGCATGTTCTCAATATAAAATGTTTTAAAGACTAATTACAAATAATACAACCCCGCCCCCCCCCCCCCCCCCCCCCCCCCCCCTAAAAAACTAAACAAAACAAAATTATCACAATGTGAAAAGACTTGTTGACTTCTTTGGTTCAAAGAGAAAAACAAAAGTTTAAAAAAAAACCAAACAAATTGGAAGTTGGTGATTGCATTTATTAATGGAGTTATTGAAGTACAATGTATGTGTGATGGAAAATATATGTACACAAATCCACACAATGGAAGTTGTAAACCTATATTGGAGAAGTCTGAATATAATTTTTCTAAACCTTTATCGTTTCTATTTTCTTTAAACAATTATGTAGATTGATGTTTGGGTGTTAAATTATTTTATTTTATTTAACACTTGTTTGTTTGTTTTCAGTCCATTAGATGATTACACAAGACCACCAATAGAAAAAGAAACTAAAATAAAATCAAGGTCTAAAAGTCCAAAATTCAAGAGGTCCAAGTCTCCGAGATCTCGATCAAGGTTTGTTATTATATTATACTCAAATTTATAATTATTTCCCTTTATTTGTTGACATGTGAATCACATTTTTGAGTTTATATATAGAGAAAGAAAACTTGAATCATATATTCTGAGCTTATCTAAACTGTGTATGAATATTTTATTAAACCTAAATTTGTGTATTTTCGCACTAAATAGTTGTAATCATATAACTTCATAAAATAGAAAAAAATCTTATATATCATTTAATGTGCTATAAGAATAATGTAAACAGCTGATATATCTGAGCTAACTGGTTATTTTTTCTTATTAAAGTTATATATGATATATATTCAAGATATATGAATTTTGAATTTTTTTTTATTTGAAGTAAAATGTGTTTTAGGAAACTTAGTTATTGAAATTTGAAAAAATCATCTGTTATATCAAATTAACTGTGAAATGTTATTTTTACTTTGTAAGAGACACTAAATACAGCTCATTTGCTTCCATTTCATAAAAAATCATTTTTGTAATTTGATTGTATAATTGATTGTTGGTGTTTTAATGCCGCTTTAAGCACATTTGGCAATATCATTGCGGTCATTTTTTACTGGTAGAGGAAGCCATAGTACCAGATGATTGTATGAAGGTTCACAGACATTACACAAGAATAATATGTTGATGTATATTTTTATATGTATATTTCAAAATCAGCAATATGCCAAACATTTTTTATAGCTTCTAGAGTGTTCTCTTGAATGCATTAAATATCAGGTAGTATTATTTTATGTGATTTTATTCCTTTTTTATGTTTTTTTACAGATCGAAAACCCCTAAAGCAAGTTCAAGAGATAAAAAGTCGTTCTCAAGATCTCCACCACCAAAGAAACGTTCATATTCAAGAACCCCACCTCCAAAGAAACGTTCTTATACCAAGAGTAGATCCCGATCACCATACAGGAAGAAAAAGTCATTTTCAAGATCACGCTCACGATCTTTAACACCAAGGAGAAGTAGATCCCCAAGACCTAGATCATTGACCCCAAGACCAAGGTCAAGGTCATGGACACCTAAAAAATTCAGGGGTAGATCAAGGTCATACACAAGGTCAAGAACAAGATCAAGAACTAGGTCACCAAGATTTAGGAGGAGGACATATTCCAGGTCTCCCCCATTAAGACGAAGATCATATTCTAGAAGTCTTACACCTAGAAGAAGGTCATTTTCCAGAAGTCCACCTAGGAGGAGATCAAAGTCACCATATTTCCGTGGAAGAGGGAGATCTCCTGGCTATTATGGAAGGGACTGGTCACCACCACCATACAGAAATTACAGGAGTCCACCGCCCAGAGGATTTTCCCCTCAAAGATATGGTCCAACACCTTATGGTTTCGGGGGAAGAGATTTTCCTGCTAGGTGTGTTAAGTTCATCCAATTACACAAAATATATGTTCTTTCAATATCTGTGTCATTGTTAATAATTGTACATGACTGGTCATTACATGTGTTGTATTGGATCAATCATGTTTACAACCATTCAAATACCAGTAAAAGTGGTTCATTTTCTCACAGGGATTTCTAGGTCTAAAAGTTAATGAGAGGTTTACATGTAATCAAAAACTTTTTCTACTGCAATCTATTGGACACCGTATACTGCTCTGCATAAAGTTTTGTTTCAATATTTTATTTGGCCATGAACACCAAAATGTTTTGATGTGTAAAAATGCCATTTCTGTGAATCTCAAGTTTGCCATAAAAATTACAGTGATTAGATATATAAATTATGCATGGAAGATCTTTGAAGATCTTGTCAAATGTAAAACATGGAGTTTAAATGCTTTACATTTTCAAGTTAGTTGACTTTTACAAGGCATTGACTTTATTGAATAGAACAGCAAATTATATTGTGTAAGATAGTGAAGTTGAAAATTAATAGAATGTTGGAAAAATGGGCTCGAAATATCAGTATAAAACACCATTTAACATTTGTCTTCAGTCAACAAAATAGTGACGGTATCATCCATGACTCAGTATATAGACATGCATAAAAAAAATATTAGAAAACAAGACCGAGAGATACAAACAAAATAAACTGCATTTCAATAGGCATAATCTGGTTACCTGTACTTGTAGTAAATGGTCAACAAGAAATAAAACAGAAATTAGAATGCAAAAACAAAAATGCAACCTTATAAGACCATTAAGTAGAAGTCATTGTGTCATCTTTTGTCGACTCCAATCTTAATTAACTAGGATTGTCAGTTTTCCTATGGAACGTTGTGGTTTATCTAGGTACTACGGCTTCCTCCACCATAAGAAACTAACCGCCACAAAATAGCCAATAGTGCTGAAGGTGGCATTAAACACCAATCAATCAGTCAATATAAGAATGGACAGTTGCCAACACTGTATAACACTATCAAAAAAGACTTTAAGAAAAGTGTAGAATGAGTTCAACAACAGCAAATTTACATTCTACACAATAGTTTGAATAGACCCTAAAAAATAATAAGACAAGATTCCTAAATTTGAAAAAAAATCTTGTCATCATTAACTGCTTCATACTTAGTTTAAAGAACATTTGCAGGAGAGTATAAACTGTATAAAAGAATTATTTAACAATGATGAGCAATAAAACTATCTTAGAAACTCTTTGTGGAAAGAGAGAGGATGATATAAACAAATGTGCCATATTGGAGCCAGAAAAATATAGATACATGGCAATGTTATGAGAATTGAATGCAAAAGAAAAAGGAAAGGAAACAATTAAAAAATAACTTTCAGGCCACCCTTAAAAAGTTCTTTGTTTGATGATGCCTAATAATGCCTCGTAGGGTTGATTAGATAGGTAGGGATTTTATTTTTTGGATGGCCAACAACATAAGTTATATATTTGAGACAAGGAAAAGACGTTGGAGCAGGAAAAAATCCTTTAAAAAAAATTTGAAACAACTTGTGTCGTAAAATTTTTCCGGTAGGCAGCTTTTAAGGTGGGTAGGTAGGCAACATCAAACAATTTTAATTTTATTTTTGGCCTTACTTTCTGACTTGGTACGGGTATTTAAAATTTAAAAAAAATTGCTGTGGTTGTATAATGTGCATACTTTATACTATATTTTCCTGCAAGTATGATCTTAATCATATCTGTTAGGTTTTTTTTAGCTCACCTGTCCCACAGGACCAATGTGAAATATTGTAACCCCTTTGTATCTGTCTTCTCTCCACCTAAGACAGTTGACTGTTTTATCATCTCTGCTGCTGAAACCTCTGTTTTGAACCAAAATTTGCAATAAAAATATATGGAAAGTTCTTTATAACAAAACAATTTCATTTGGTTAGGATTTGCTGAAAAACATGGCCACAAATGGGTAAATTTAAAAAAAATCATTTCCTCTGAAACTACAGGGCAAAATATTTGAATCTAAGAGATTGTAATTGGAAAGGCTTTTTCAAACATCCACCTTTAAGTTTGATTGGGTGTCTGACTTGGTGGCACATACATGTAGTTCTCATTGAAACCCTATGGAAAATCACATTTTAATCTATTTCTCTGAATTTACACGGCCACTTTTAACCAAACTTTGTAGGAATGGTGCATTGAAAGTGCTGAATGATTCTTGTTCAGATCTGATGAAATAACAAAAACATGGTGACAAGGGGCAATCTTGATTGGACAATTTTAAAAAATCTTTTCTGATACTATGAAGTAAAACTTTCCTCAATCAATGTTAATCTGGTGGCAAACATGGTTGAATTTGGTGGCTTATTGTTCTCATGGAAACCCTATGGAAAATCAAATTTCATAGCTCTCATTGAAACCATATTGAAAATCACATTTTTATGCCCTGCCTACGATAGTAGTAGGGGCATTATGTTTTCTGGTCTGTGCGTCCGTTCGTTCGTTCATCTGTGCGTCCGTTCGTTCGTTCATCTGTTCGTTCGACCGTCTGTCCCGTATCAGGTTAAAGTTTTTGGTCAAGGTAATTTGTGATGAAGTTGAAGTCCAATCAACTTCAACACATGTTCCCTATGATATGACCTTTCTAATTTTAATGCCAAATTAGAGTTTTGACCCAATTTCACGGTCCACTGAACATAGAAAATGATAGTGCGAGTGGGGCATCTGTGTACTATGGACACATTCTTGTTATAATCTTATTCTAAACCTGGCAGGGATGATTAATGGAAAGATATTTACTAATTATCATCAATGATTTGGTTGAATGAAAAAAGATGGCCCAAAGAGGCAATCTTCATATATATAGTATATAGTGAAGTACTTGTTTGTCTGAATCTGTCAGTCACAAGTTAAGTTTCTTAACATATATTAAGTACCCCTTGACCAAATCTTTTGGAATTTTAACACAAGGTCATGAACCATAAACTACAGGTCAAGATATATTTTTATGGTTTTAGCATTTACTGTTCAATAGTTGTGCCGTAAGTTACCTTAAAATTGAATTTTTATGGATTTCCAGATGATGATTAAAGTTTAATTATCTTTTAAAATTTGGACACAATGTCAAGGATCAGAAAATACAAGTCTAGTTTGGTTTTAATGGTTTTGAAATTTACAGTTTTAGAGTTATGCTCCTTAGTTTCCTTAATAATTTTGGGTTGTTTTATTTCCTGATGATAATTAAGTATCACTTGACCAAATCTTTTGAAATTTGAATACCATGTCATGGACTATAAAAAAAACAGGTCAAATTAGATTTTGAGATTAACCGTTCAAGAGTTTTTCCCCTTGATTTACCTGAAAACTTCGAATTTTTTGGTTACCTGGTGATAATGAAAATGCCATTTTAAAAAATCATGTAAGAATTAAAGACAATGCTATGAATTATAAAATACAGGTCACATTCAATTTGAATTTTGTTTTAGCATTAACTGTTTAAGAGTTTTTATGCAAGCAGGGGTATCTGATCCCTAGAAGACTTAATTCTAGTGATTCTGATTGGACAATTTTTAAATACCTTCTTTGAAACTATGAGGCGAAAATGTTGAAACTTTAAGGGATTAATGATTGGAAGGCCATGTACAAAGGTAGGGAAGAAGAAAGTCTGACAGTGTTCATCTGACCTTCACCTCATTTTTTATGGTTCATTGATTAACAGTTACTTTGGGGTGATAAGGTCTGTTTCTCCGGTATTGTTAGAAAGAAGTCAACTATATTTGGTCTACAGAATCATTGTAAGATTTACATGTCCATGGGATGGGGCTTTACCTGACCTTGATCTTATTTTCATGGTTAAATGATTTATTTAACACTTAGTTTCCGTGATCAGGTTAATTTCTCTGTTACTATGTACTATAAATCATTGTAGAATGCTCATGTCCATATGACAGCTTTGGCTGCACCTTTACTTCTATTTCATGGTTTAATTTAATTTTAGTGATTAGGTCATTTTTTCGGCTACTTTCAATTTTAGGCTGACTATTATTTCATTTGAATCATTGTAAGGTGTAAATTTTCACGATAAGGTTAGCTTAAGAAATATGTTTAAAGAAGGAATTAATTGAATCTGGAAAATTGATAGGAAATGTATGATGAAAACTAACCCAAATATGGAGGGTTAGCCATGCACGCTAAGGTTTAGTTTACTTTCACTGATATTTCAGAAAGATCTGACTAACACCTTTAAGCCATACAGGCATGGCTAATCCTTCTGTAATTGGTATGTTTTACCAGTGAATTTATGAGGAAACATTCCAAGATTATCTAGAGAAGTATATATTTTTTACTTGTAGGTTTGACCAGAGAATTTATGAGGAAATATTTCAAGATTATATAGCTAGATATGGTCTACCTCCACCACCACCCCCACCTTCAGGACAGTTAGAAAGAGGCATGTACTATGATTCACACAAAGGAGTATATAGAAGAGGATCAAGATCTAGGTCAAGGTCTCCTAGAGGATCCAAGCGTGACAAGCCTAGGGATCGTAAAGATGATAAATATTCTAAAGGTAGAGACAAAGATAAGAAAACTGATAAATCAAGTAGGACAAAGAATAAAAAAGAGGACGACAAATCTAAAACTAAGAAGGAAAATGAAAAATCAAAAGGAAGAGACGACAAACCCAAGGAAAAGGTAAAAGATAAAGAAAAGGAAAGCAAATCCAAGGAAAACAAATCCACAAAACCTGCTGAAAAGACAGAGGCAAAAACTGAAAAGCCAAAAGAGATTGAAAAGAAAGGACCTGAAAAGAAAGTAGTGAAGAAAGTAGTTAAATTAAAAGATGGAACAATAGTAAAGAAAGAATCACTTGCACTTAGATTAAAGACTAAGGGAACTGTTCCCAAATCTCCTGTGAAAGCTGCTAAAGTTGTCACAGCTAAAGCAGTTGTTGGTGAAAGTGATGAAAAATCAACTACTATAAATAGATCAGGAGCTCTCAAGACAATTCAAACAACAGAGAATATTAGAAACTTACCTCAAAAGGAAGCATTGCACTCAAAGAGAAGCAATTCTAATCTTATACAAATTAACACTCAGCATGTTTTGCCGGAGGTGAAGAGTCCTGAAGTCAAAGAAGCACCTGATGAGGAGGCTAAATCAAAACCTATTAATGAAGTAAGCAAACTTGAACCTATGGAAACTGAACAGTCAAAGACTGAGAAAGAAAACACAGATTTGGAAAGTAAAGACAGTGCAATGAATGGAGAAGAAAGTGATCAAACTAACAAAACAATCGATAAAAAGGAAGATGTTCCAGTTAAACAAGTTACTCCTGTTAAATCTCAAAAGAAGGTTAAGGTAGTGAAAAAAGTTAAAAAGGTTAAAAAACTTGTGGATATAGAGGCTTCACAAAGTGATTCTGCTTCAGACTTAGAAAAAGTAAAAACGAAAAAGAAAAAACGTGTTCAGGAGATAAATGAAAATAATGAGAACTCTGAAGATGAAAGTCCAGCTAAAAGAATAAAACATGATGCTGAAGTAGAAATGGAAATAAAGAAAAATATTTCTAAAGGTGAAGATCAGCTGATGTTGTCTCCCCCTGAATTGTCAAAATGGGAAAGGGAAGATTACAATGAAGACAAATCACCTGATCTCAGGGACAAACTTAAAAAGAAAACCGAGAGGAAACCTTTGCCAAGGTTGGTATATAAATCATAGAGCTATCAATTAGAACTCAAATAATTCATTATGGATTGCAGCATCTTAATATCATCTTAAATAAAAAAAATAAATGCACATCTATGATCTATGTTGCAGATCATAGTTCCTGTTCTATCATATATTGTCATTAGAAATTCAAATGGCAGTGTTTAGTAAAATAAACTATTGATAGATGTTCTAGTATCAAGGTGTTTTGGATATGATCACATATTTATTTGTATTTTTTTTACATTATCAGTAATGTACAAAATATACAATTAATGAAACTTTACCAATTATATCTGTAATCTTACATACAGGTTTAATAAACAACATACATGAATTCCAAACTGTCCAGAAATAATTTCACTATGTTTGATTTAGCTAGGTGTCTTGCTAGTTATTTAGTCAATGATTCAAGATTGGCTTGTTAAATGTGCTATGAAATCAATAGACACTTAGGAAAAAAGGAGATGTGAGATTTTATGTCAATGAGACCGCAACCTTACAAAAAACAAACATGAAAAGTCATCTAGAGGTCAAGATGTGGTCTTTTAACAATAGATACGTTGTCTCAAGTTCTAAACTACTCTTCGTCTGTACAAGTAATGAATAAAGAAGTTGTGTTAAGCCTGAAATTCTTATTACATTTATGTACATTTAGGAAAAATTTACTCCACCAATCTCCACCAATCTTGTAGGTATTTGTATATGATAATACCATTACCAATTAATTCTCTTCATATTACAGATCCATAATTGAAAGTGCAGAGAAAGCTATAACTCAGAAACAACCGAAGCCAGCTACAGTTGCTTCTGCTGTGGTGCCTGCACACCCTCAAAAGAAACTCTCAGTCCATGACCGATTACAGAAATCACCTGTTAGACAGAACGATGAAAGACATCGTAAGTCTCCTGTTTCCAGTGATCATAATAAAAAATCCCCTGGCCGACAACAGAGAAGAGTTTACATGGATGATAACCAGAAACAGAATCATAAAGATGAAGATGATAGTCGAAGAGTACACAGTCGTGAAAATTCCATGCAGATTACAGTCTCTTCTGATAAAAATGAAAAAGAGGCTGAAAGAATTCACAGGAGAGTATCAGAAAGTGAAAAGGTAGATAAACGTAGAGTCTCAGAAAGTGAAAAGTCAGATAAGCGTAAAGTAGTGGGCAGTGAAAAAAATAAAGTTGATGCCGTTGAAAAATCAGAGAAAATAGACAAGCAAAAATCATCTAGGAGGAATGAATCTCCAGAAAAAGAAAGCAGACAAAAAGTTTCAACTAAAGTTAAACAGACAATTGTAAAGAGTGTGAAAGAGAAGAAAAAGGAAAGTAAAGATATTGAGAAAGTGAAAGAAACTGATCAGGTTGAAGGTGAGAAATCAAAACTGGAGAAAGTGAATGGACAGGAAGAAAATACAAAAGCAGAAAATGAAATTCAGATTAAAAAGAAAAAGTATGAGAGAAAAGAGTCTGTGATTGATGAATCAGCCTTTGTACCCGATTATAATGAACACAGTGACTCAGATGCTGAATCTGATGGTGATGCATCAAGCATGGAGGAGGAAAAAAGTGATAAGGAAGAAAAGAAACAGAAAAAACACAAGAAGGAAAAAAAACATAAAAAGAACAAAAAACATAAACATAAACATAAAAAGAAGAAACATAAGAAAAATAAAGAGGAAAAGGAAACTGTTAGTAAAGTTGAATGAAAGTTCATACCCATCAATGGTGCTATTGTCAAGAAGAATGTGATAGCAAACATACTTTTAGTGCTAAATTGTTGACATTTTTTAAGTATATGACTTACTAAGAATCGGTTACATTTTGAAATTTAAGTACTTAAATGTGTAAGGACCAGACAGGAATTGAAAATGATATTAATCAGATGCCTACGAAATTTCTTTCCTGTATATAAGGTTCCTTAACAAAGGATTGGGATACAAAAATTATAGGAGCTCTTATTTATAGGTCCAAAGTAGTATTCTCATGTGGGGAACCCCCTCGTGTGTTATTTAAAGGGATGTGAGTGAGTATTGTATAATTGATTTGAGAGAGCTTAACAAGATTTGTATGAAATGTGCATGGACAGTTTAGTCAGTATAATTCTAAATTGGTAAAATGATGGATGCTGTATAAAATTTGTTTCTAATAAAAGAAAGGTTGACAGTTTGTCTACCTGAAGATATCCAAGTAATCTTGTTTTATCCTAAGATGATATTTTAACATGATTGCAGTTGTAGATTGAGAGTTATTTTAATGATGGGTTCTCATCTTTCAGTTGTTTTTGCTTTTGGTTTGTTTATATATTAACCAGTTATGGTTTCTTTATAGAAAATAGTATATATAAAACATCTTTGAATAGGCTAGTTATTCTGATAAGTATGTGTCTATAAAGTTTTCACTGATCAGGTTAGACATATGTTGTACATGTACATTATATAGGATCTGGTTGCTTTGTTAAGGTCAGTATTGGTCACTTATGATTATAAGTGAAATTGTTTTGTTTATTAAAAGATGGATTTCATTGAACAGCAAAAAGGGTTGCAATGTTTTCTTTTCATTTCAATATTTATTCCTCCAAAAACATGTGCTTGTCAGCTTAATCTAATGGCATTGATTCCTATTTTATGGTACATTTCCTGTTTTGTGGTGCATTATGGGAGTGAATGCTTTGTTATTTTCTTGTATATAAGTGATGTTGATGTAAATATTGTTTGATTTATTTATATAATAATGAATCATTCATTCGTGTAAAAAAACAACAACATTTGTATGTATTGTAAAAAGGTAAAGTGATTTATTTAAATTGAATTATTGTGTAAATATTGGGATAAAGAAAAATAGGTGAACCTTTATTATCAATATTTTTTTTTAAGCTTTCGGATATAAGATGGTTTTATAAACAATGCTATTCTATTTCTGTGAAAATGAAAATGCTGATCTTTAATCAGATAAATAACTTGTTCTTTTAAAGTAGTGTAAGCTATTAAACAGATTTCGGTAACATTTTTATATACTTTTTGAGAAAATATATTTGATGTTATGAATGTAGAATTTAAATATAATTTTCAAAACTAGGAATTCTCACGATTGATAATCCTAGATTTGGTATAAATTGATATAATTTGTATGGTAAACCTTTTTTGATAGAAATTTTGTATATATATATGTAAATACAAATGAATTTGTACAGAATGTATATTTAAAACTTCATATGATGAAGTTAATTAATGTAAAGTACATGTTTTGGTGAACATTTGGTAAATCTATTTAATCATGAGTTTCATGTCAAGTGCACATATTAAATATAACAGTAAGTGATCATTGGGTACCTCTTTTATCATGTTTTTGAAAGTTGTAAATACTCATTGCAAAGGTATACAGTTGTAAAACTTCCAAGTTAAAATCATGGTATTACAAAATCATAAATTAGCAAGGGTTTCTTTAAGGGCATTAAGACTTGTGTTTTTAGTGGGTTTTTTTTTAAGCCATAAATTTCAGTGATGTGTTGCAAATATTTACTCAACTGTTTCTGCAGAACCTTAGAATTATTTCTGAGGAAGAGATTGTTAGAGTAATTCTACTCACAGAATCCTGGTTTTTTGAATCATTAAACTTTTTTTATAATTCCTGTACATTTTCAGCAGTAGGACATAGAAATCAGGAGATAAACCCAATAACTTTTTATAATGGGATCAATGCATCTTTCATTCTAGCTGAATACGAGGCCTTGGTTCTTAATCATGTAATGGCTTTAATTTTCATCGTGAATCTTTAGATACATGTACTGTGAATTCATTTATTTTCATTAATACCTATTTTTGTGGATTAAGTAAAATTGTATTTTCATCAATATTTGATTTTGTGGTTTTGCCAAAGTCTGCATACAAGCCTATAGAATTATTGTATTTTGTTGAAAATATAAATATGTGGTTCATCCTTCACCCACGAAATCTCAAATATTGGTACCCAACGAATAAAAATGAATCCACAGTATGTCAATACATAAAATCATTTTTTTTTTCATTTTACGTATGAATATATGTCTAATTGGTTTATTAAATTATAAGGGTAATGATTATTCAGTATTGAAATATTATTTTTTGAAATTTTCTCTCCATTTTCATTTATAATTGATATGAATAAAAGAGAATGTTTATGAATAAGTTGTTGCAATAACTTGATACAGGTTATATAACTTTGTCATTGATTGTGTTCATATTTTATGCAGTGGTGAACTGTCAATAAAAATGAAAAAGAAAACATCTGTTTTATCCTGCCTTGTTACCTTTTGCATTAAGTATTACTGCCAATGTTTAACTCACATAGCTCAAATGACCAGTGTGGGCTATTTCTAGCATTTGGCATCCATTTGTTCATTAACTTATCACATTTTACTGAGTCCCCTATCCGAGAAGCCAAATAGGACAATAGGTTTGCCTTCTTCTAAGTCGGTCAGTCCAACCATCTGTTAAGTTTCATTACTTTTAATGCCCTTGCTGCATTGGAGTTTTACCCTTGTCCATCTGTATGTCCGTCCATACGTCCCAAAATTAGTTTCCGTTCTCTAACTTTAGTTTGCCTCAACTAAATTTTATGAAACTTGTACACAAAACTTTTTACCACAAACACAGATCAAGTTGGAATTTGGGTGGCGTCACTGTCGCTGTTCTTGAGTTATGTCCTTTTGTAAATTAAAAAAAAAAGCAGAATTTGCCGTATATTTACAAGCGTCCCATGGACACATTCCTCATTTATTTCTGTAATATTTCAACCATTGATTAGACTGCCTCAGTGGGAACAATCCCCAGCCAAGTCAAACCAAAGACTTAAAAATTGGTATTAGCTGTTTCTCACACAGCATTTAAGAGAAAGAGCAAAAACTGGTAGGCTCAGAGTCAGAATAATGTGTCTGGGTAGGTAACTTAATTGGAATTTTGAATCAGAGACCATTACAGATTTCTTATTTTATGCTATATAGAATTTTAGCTTATATTTAAAGGACTTATTGTCATCACTTTCTTTTGTCACACAATTACCACTTATTTTTCTTCTCTGAAACATCATGGCCACGACAGAGAGCACAAAGATAAGGATTAAAAATATTTTGGAAGTATTTACCTAGTTGAAGCTCAAAAACCTTTTCAAACATTTTGGAAAAATAGACAGAACACTGACTGGTCTGTTATTTGATTCACTGGCCAGTTTTCTTGTGTAGCAAAGAATTCAATCTACCAGTATTTGGAAAGCACATGTATTAATTGATATATTAATTAATGATGTAAGTTGACATGAAACAACAGATTTACTACATTTGACAACTTTAGCCAGTAAACACAGCATTGACTTTTTTGCATTGATTTTATTGATAACTTTCTCAACTTTGTCTGGTGTTATTTTCTTGAAATTATAGTGGATGTTTTCATCAATGTGATTTTTAGTCCCCTACCGACGAAGTCGAAGGGGACTTTAGGTTTGCACTCTGTCTGTCTGTCTGTCTCTGTCTGTCTGTCTGTCTCTCTGTCTGTCCGTCCGTCAGTCCGGCAAATCAGTTTTCCACTCTTTTTTTCTTCATGCTTGAAGATTTTGATTTGATATTTGGTTTATTGTTTTATCATGACAAGTTACAGATCAAGTTCGAATTTTGTTCCGGTCGGATGATTTTGTGCAGAGTTATGTTCCTTGGACTTAGAAAATTCACTCCAATAATAAGTTTTCCGCACTTTTTGTCGTCATGCTTGAAGATATTGATTTGAAAATTGGTATATAGTTATATCATGACAAGTTACAGATCAAGCTCGAATTTTGTTCCAATGCAATGAATTTTTAACTGGTAAGGGACTATGTATTGCCATGCAATACTCACAGAATACTTGTTATTTCCACAATGCTATGGTGAACAGAAGGATGCAAAAGTAGATTGATTGATTGGTTGCATCATGCAAAAGTAGAGAAAAAAGGGTTGAAGTGGATATCCTGTCAATTAAATAGCAATCAAACGACAAAAAAGGATTTAGCAATCAACTTGCCGTCTTCAAACACAGAAAATGAGTACATAATTTCAAGCTTTAACTCGTTTAACAAAGTTGTGAAGAACAGAGACAATCAAATATCTGACATTAACAACACAGTCCAAAAAAAAAAGAAAAGAAAAATGACAAGATATAAATAAAGACTACCACTGACGATTTTCCTGACCAAGTTAAATTTAAATTGGAATATTCTTTTTTATCTCCCCTGATTACAAAAAGTTCGTAAAAGAACTCACAATAATGAGTACATGAAATGCGCTCAACGATATAACGGGAAAACAGATACAAATAACGCAAGTACAATCAAAACCATATCAAAGAATGTTTATATTTACAGAAAGCAAACTAAAAGAAATATTTACTTATTCAGTACAAATTTTCTCTTACAAAATTATACAATATATTTATACATTTATTAAAAAGATAATAAAGAATGAAAAACAAAAAACGATAATACAATAATACAGAATACAATATCTTGGCATAGGTCAATTATGTCACCAGGAATGCACTAAAAGAAATCTTTCATACACCATGCATGCACTCATGGTTATTGTCCTTGACCTTATATTAATAGTTAAATGACTGCAGAAAAACTAGATTTATTATTATTTGATTCGTTCTAGTGCTGTAAAAAAATGGAATCTCTGTGACGTGTTAAAGTTCGACTGACAAAGTTCAACTAACCTTGATCACATTTTCATGGTTAGTTATTGAACGGTACTAATGTCTCTTTTTATTGTCAGTTTCTCAGCTTCTATGAGTATTAGTTCAACTACATTTGGTCTTCATAATCGTTATACGGGATTTCGGGTCCGCCTGACAGGATTCACCGACCGCATTTTTACTGTTCATCATAAAGTTTTTGTGATTAAGTCAGATTGTTTTCATGTAAACTTTTTTCATTGTCTATATTATAAGCAATAAGTTGTAGTTTTGAAGTGAAGCACAGTTGGTTATAAGTGAATGCTCTGCAATACGCTATTATATATTTGAGAACTAAGTTAAACTAAAGGTTGTGGGAGTTTTTCCTGTTTATTTCGTTTACAGTTGGAAGGTTAACATAAATGAAATTAAGACTTAAGGTTAGTAGTGAAATTGAACATACAAATCAAAGTATTTTCCCATCCCTATTAGTAATTTAATAAAATTGGAAAATTGGAAATTAAAAAAATAAACATTTTCCCAGTGACAATAACATAGAAACTGTAAATGGGTTATCATATATAAGTAATTCGCTTTTAAAGTCACGAATCGGTAAAGTGTAACTTTTATTTATGTACGTATCGTGAGGCCCTAAGATAGATTTGACGATAAAATTTGCCTATAAATCAAATATGTTGATTGTGATAACTTCCGTTCGTTTTTTGTATTAAAAATATCAAAATATTGAAACAGGTGTAACATGTGTGATGAACCAATGAAATTCAGATAAACCCTCTTTCATACCGACTTTAGTTAGAAAATATAGACCTTGACACACTTCCTGGAGACTTAGTATACCAGGACTTTGTGTTTGTCCTTGAATGTACTTGTATTTCGCAATGTTCAGTGTAGGATTGATTGATTGTTGGTTGCTTAACGTCTTCAGTGTAGGACAGCAGAATATTAGTCTTAAGGAATAACGAATTGTTCTAATGAGAACTCACTCCCCCTTTGGTGTTGTGTTTGTTGTGTCTTCTTTTCCTCATTATTGAAAATCTCTCAGCTACCATCGAAATACGAAAAGACTGATGTTTACTATGATTATATTTACTTTATACACGGTTTGGATAGTTGTCATAGTAATCGCATTGCCTGTGTTCGTCTGTCCACACTTTGTATGATTACTCCTACATCAGCGAAATTTGTTGACAACTTGTAGTATCAAATGATATAGTACCTTTTCTTTTTTATTTTATTACCAAAATGATGTTTGGGCTCTCCCATAGCAGTGAATACTTTTTGTCACACTAATTGATTTACGGGAATAGACATATTGTATCAGGAACTCCTTCTAAACTTATTTTCATTTGTGTATGTACCAGGTCAGGAGTATGACAGTTTTTTTTCTCAATTGTTTCATTTGTGTCTGTACCAGATTAGGAGTGTGATGGATTATTTTTAGTGTTATCATTGATGTCTGTACAAGGTCGGGAATGTAACAGATTATTTCAATGGTATCATTGATGTATGTACAAGGTCGGGAATGTGACAGATTATTTCAATGGTATCATTGATATTTGTACAAGGTCGGGAATGTGACAGATTATTTCAGTGGTATCATTAATGTTTGTACAAGGTCGGGAATGTGACAGATTATTTCAGTGGTATCATTAATGTTTGTACAAGGTCGGGAATGTGACAGATTATTTCAGTGGTATCATTGATGTCTGTACCAGGTCGGGAATGTGATAGATTATTTCAATGGTATCATTGATGTTTGTACAAGGTCGGGAATGTGACAGATTATTTCAGTGGTATCATTAATGTTTGTACCAGGTCGGGAATATGACAGATTATTTCAGTGGTATCATTAATGTTTGTACCAGGTCGGGAATGTGACAGATTATTTCAGTGGTATCATTGATGTCTGTACCAGGTCGGGAATGTGACAGATTATTTCAATGGTATCATTGATGTTTGCACCAGGTCGGGAATGTGACAGATTATTTCAGTGGTATCATTAATGTTTGTACAAGGTCGGGAATGTGACAGATTATTTCAATGGTATCATTGATGTTTGTACAAGGTCGGGAATGTGACAGATTATTTCAGTGGTATCCTTAATGTTTGTACAAGGTCGGGAATGTGACAGATTATTTCAATGGTATCATTGATGTCTGTACAAGGTCGGGAATGTGACAGATTATTTCAATGGTCTCATCGATGTCTGTACCAGGTCGGGAGCGTGACGGATCACTTGCATCTGTTCTACCATGTCTTCCCATTCCGTTCATTGTATGCGATCTTCAGTTATTTTGTTTGTTTTTTCCTTTATAATTTTGTGATGATGTTTTTATGTACTTGCATCTACCCATATCTCTCCATTTTCCTATCTAAAAGAGGAACATTATATCACACTAAAAGAAGAGATTGTGAGAGGAAAACACGATTAGCTTGCAAAGGTAAAAAATGAAGGAGAATGAGAATGCGTCACAAAGGAATATTTAGAAATAACCATAATCAGTTAATGCCTTACTTTTCAAATGCAGTAAATATATCTCTTTGTCAGTATAATTTAATGATGTTAAATGGCTATTTGACAATTGCAGTCTTCCATTTCGTATTATTTAATGTACTGTAACCATTTCAAAAAACGAAATTGATGATCCAAAATTGCAACGGTATACACGCCTTATCCTATATTTCAACAATGAGAAATGTGGCGAGTTGAGTCATTTTACATAATTTTTAGGTATTGACGGCATTATTTCGCCACGATTTGATTTAAATGAATATTGAATACCATATAATACGAGAAATTGTATAGTAATGTTATTTCAATATACGAAACTAACGCATAAGTGTTGGTAAATATTCATTTATGATGTTTAACGCAAAGACCAATATGATATTCTTTACACTCCGTTTAAAAGAGTTCAATTCGTTGTCATGCAGTTTATGTACATATAATCACCATTGTCGGATTAGTAAAAACATGTATTAAAATCAAAAGATATTACATCGGAAAATTTTGAGTCCATAGAGGACAATTAAAAAGTGTAATAATAAAGTCCGAAAGATAATAGTTCACATGCCAAGAAATTGCCTCCGTTGAAATTTTGCAAACACCCCATAGAGCAAATTACATGGATGATTAATATTGACCATTTGGTATATGGCCGTGTTCTAAGCGACACGTACATGTAGGTCATAAATTAATTTGTTGAATGAAATCAAATCTTTAGCTACTAATGAGTGCCGTAGGAGGTCGACCGGAATTTTTAGCTAGGATTTCTTGGCATGACCAAGAAGGTTGTATCTCACACAACCTCCTTGGTTCAACTACTTGAAATGCTTTTCGTCCGGTCGCCCCGGGCTTTAAATTTTCATAAAAAAATGATCAAGATTTTTCTATATGTTACAGAGACTTTCAACAGATTTATCTTATCAATGGACATTAATTTCTTAATTCAAAATTTCAATTCTGGAAAAGACGCTAGCCGTAAACACCGAACTTTATTTATTGGGTATGTATTCTGGTTATCAAATGATGATTAAAAGCGGGATACAGTTTAACAATTTAATAAAAGACCCAACAAAAATATACGAGATGTTACAATACCGAGTTCGGTGTTTACGGCTAGCGTCTTTTCCAAAACTGATATTAATTCTTCTTAAGATTAGTTGATTGTTTGTCTGTACTATTTTAGGATGTTGTTCTCTTCTGTTTATTATGTGTCACAATGTAAATATTTTTGTGTTGCTAAAGTAACTACTGCTTTGCAATATAGAATTAATTTATTCATTCATTCTTAATGAGTATCAACATGATAATAAAGAAATACATGTAACTTTAGATAATCTTATTAATGTCCATTGTTAAGATAAATCTTTTGGGACTGTCTGTGACATGTGGATATAAAATCCATTATCGGATTAGTTGCCTAAACTTATCTAACCTCCTCGTGTAATTTGAACATTTTAGCAATCAGAACTTTATAGTACAGTTAAACAGAAAACCAGTTTTAAACCAAACGATAAACCTGTCAGAAACCAAAACCCTAGACTGAAATTGGCTTGAATACAACAAATTCACTCTAACAGTGAATTCGAGAACTATTCCACACGTGACAGTAAACTTTAGATCAACAATGAACCAAAACAAAAACTATCACACATGTAACAAAACGACCAACATACACATGTAACAAAACGACCAACATACACATGGAAATATATTCCTTACTTATCAACGAAACAAATATACAAGTTTTAGGGAGAACAAAAAGTTAAAGTTTCTAAATGTTTGAGAAAGTCCGGTGATATTTTTTTTTTTCAAATTCAGATAAATTATCAATTTATAACTTCTTAATTATTTTAATAACCTTTAATTATGTTTAAGTGAAACGTTGTTTACTTGCATCTTGTCCAGAAAATAGTAAAAATTATAGAGAAGGCGGTAATGTACCATTACTGTTAATATGATTGTAGTATGTCATGTTTATGACAAAATACAAAACGATAAACTTTGACTTTAAAATGGCAAAATAATTAATTTAATATAAAAAATGTCGATTTTACTAAATTTCGCACGGTTCAATAGACCCTATTTAAATACCTTATAAATAACAACATCCACCTGTATATAAATATATCTTGTTTAAAACCAACCTAGTGTTAACTTTGTGTTAAAACCCAATAATTTATGTATTCGGATTTATAAATGGTTACCATTTAACAAGAAAACAATGTTAAAAAATCTGTGGAATATTATATCAGCTGTAGCTGTTCGTGTGATTTTAATGGTCCATTGCTTTTTAGCAGTATGGAGAGCTGCTGATGTGAAAAACAATGATTTATACTGGCTTATGGCTTTGACCAATGTTTTTATGGTGGCTGAAGGAATATTCAGAATAGTGAAAAAAGATGCCCAAGAATCCAAATGGTAAGTTATCTATCCAGGTTTACATTAACTTCTTGTTAAAAATAAAGTTATATCTACTGTTGTTTGTAATACCCACAAATATGTTCATTCATTGTAAGTCTAAAAATTGTACCTGAAATGAAAAGAAAACATGATGACAAGGGAGGTTTATTATCTTGACTGTGCTTAACGATTCACTTGTCATTCTTCTTCTTTACCTAAGAACATGTGAAAATTTGAGAAAATTATTTTTGAACAAAAATTAGGAAATTATTTACAAATGATACAGCCACGAAAGGAAAAGGAATTCACTGAAAATTATCGAAATTCGTCAGGGTTTGGACAACCTCAGAGATAAGAAGGTCAAATTTATTCTTTGGCAAGTGGGAAATGAGAAGCATTATTCAAATACGAAACAGTGTGTACATTATAGCTACTAAATTTACACAGCAACATTTCTTTGAATTCCAAAGACAAGTCAAAGATGAACTATTAATGGTCATTTCTAACGATTTTACCTTTTAACTTACTATCCCTGATTCGGCGTCACTGGTGATCACGGTGAGTCGGTTCCTAAAGGTTTATTTTGCAAAGCAGTAGCTTTTTTCGGTGACCGCCTGATTTATATGTTTTTATTGTGGCAAATGTTGTGCTTTTGAGAACGGTGCTGTTTGCAATGAGCGTTGTACACGTTCCCAATAAATGAGAAGAGTTTTGACGTAGTTCCAAAGTATATTTCACTTATTCTTCATTTTATTAACTTATTTAATGTCATGCATAATAAAATTGTGTCGTTTTTCAGAAATAACGAAAGGATATTCGAATACGACTTAAAGTGACCGACGTGCACATTTATATGATATTCTTTTGATAATTATTCATTTAAAGAATTTTCATTTTTTCAGTTGCATAATTTAAGTATTTTCCTTTGGTCAGCGGTTCGCATTACTGAATGCTTACATTAATTTCCAAATTTACACATGACTTTTTTCCTAAATATTAATTACATATTGTATTGACTATTCATTTGAACACTTTTTGTATTCCCTTTTCTTCCCAGAATTCCTTTACAGTCTTTTTTTCAGTTTCCTCTTTTTTCTACTTATATCTTTTCTCGATGCTTCCTTTTTCATTAGTTATTTTGGTTAATGAAATATAATGTAGCTGTCATTTTTCACCTTTCTGTCCCTTTACGACATAAAGCTGTTTGTTTTTGTTAGTATAACGTAGCAATGGTTTGTATATTTGCGTCCATTTGTTTTTTCGTTTTGATTTCTCAAAAACGAAAAACGAAAAACAAAACTGTTTTCCGTTTTCGTTTTTAAATCAAATTGTATTCGAATTGAATATATATTTGAACTTTTTGTATTATCTTTACTTCCCAGAATTCCTTTGTCGTCCGGAAAGTTTTATTTTCAGTTTCTTCTTTTTTCTACTTTTGTCACTTCGCGATTCTTCCTTTGTCATCAGTCATCTCGGCTCATGAAATATATATAGTTGTCATTTGTTTATATTTCTGTCGTTTTTCGACATAAAGCATATCTTTGTTTTTGTTGTAAGCTAGCAAAGGTTTGTCCCCTTATTTATTTTTTATTTTCAAATTTACGATACTAAGTAATTAATTTTTCTTTTGATAATTTGAAACTTGTAAATAGACGACGTTCTAAAAGTAAATAATTACATTACATGTATGTTTCATTATAATACGTTAGTTTGATTGGCTAACGGCAATCTCGCGTCATTCTGAAATTAACCTTCATTTCAAGATTTCAAAATGAAATGTAACATTCATGATGACACGAGCTTCCACAATAAAGTGCACAGGTAAATAAAAGAAAAACTTGACAGAAATCGTTTTTTCATGATCCTAGCAAAGAAATGTAATTATAAGTATTGTTCAATGCTTCTTTTTGGTAATTTTATAGGGTTGTAAAAGCGTTGACCGTGCGCACATTTTTAAATGAAGCGCGTCCGCGCTTCATACAAAATGTACTTCGGTCAACGCTTTTACACCCCAATAAATTTACAAAAAGAAGCATTCAATTCTTAAATGAAAGTGTACTAGTAAACGATCATTGATTAGTTGAATGATCCCGATATTTTTTTGATCTCACCTGATCAACGCTTACCTTGCAATAGAATAATTATACTTGTTTGTTAATATACGTGCCTTATACAATAACTTTCATTTCATAGTTTTATTGGAATTAAAGTAGAACAAATAATCTCAATAATATATATTTATAACAAGAGCATGATGCAAGTACGGTTTGAGGACGTTGTGACACAATTGCTATATCGTTTTTTATTTGGTCAGAAAAACATGTTTCCTGACGAAAAAAAACTTATATTTTAGTCTGAAATTTAAAAAAAGTTGAGTACCTTTACCACCATTTTTTCTTTTCTATTATCCAACCATGCATATTTGAAATACAGTCGGTCAAAATCTCGCTTTTTTTTCGCTGTGACAAGATGGCTAAACCTTTTTGGAGTCATTGATGTAGTAACAATACTAATATTTCCTGCAGGAGTCATTGATGTAGTAACAATACTAATATTTTCTGCAGGAGTCATTGATGTAGTAACAATACTAATATTTCCTGCAGGAGTCATTGATGTAGTAACAATACTAATATTTCCTGCAGGAGTCATTGATGTAGTAACAATACTAATATGTCCTGCAGGAGTCATTGATGTAGTAACAATACTAATGTTTCCTGCAAGAAAACATCCTTAACCAGGAATACATTAAATGTTCTTTAATACTATTTTTTTCTCTCAGACTTTCCTATGCCACGATAAAAATGCAACAACCGGATAGTTGCGTTCCTTGAAATTTCTTGGATATTTTTCAGACCATTTTCATCTATGCCATTTCCCAATTTTTGGTTTCAGAAAAAAATGATTTGTTTTCCCATTACAATAATCATATCAAAATAGATAGTCTTGCCAAGTTTTACCACAATTGGAGAATAACATATGAAATATATAGACACAGCCTATTGATATTTTGTGCACAGAAGTGACAAGTTGGACATGACGTTTATGCGTGAAAATGAGATAATCGAGTATCATAAATTTGGGTATTTTAATTTCAATTTTATTTTTTTTTACTATTTGCAAGCCTATTATACTAAATTCAACACAAAATGGTAATATTATTTATCGAGTTGGCCAGTCAACTCCTTGTTTTAACAGTAACTTGAAGATTAGACCAAAACGGTTGTACCAAAACGACTTTGTAATTGTACTAAAACTAAGGTTGTAACTCTCTCCGTCAAAGCTGACCTTAAATGGTTTTCGATGTTCTCTTTAAGCCTTGGTTTAAATATTTGCCTTTGCTTTTTGGTGTATTTAAATATCATAAGTATATGTCTTTTGACGATTAATCTAGAAATACACGTGTCGTTTGTATACCGATTTCCAATGACTTACGAAATACGAAATATTTTATTAAAGAAAGCTGAATTATGAACATGTCAATAATAGCATAGGTACAACGACATACTGCTGAAAGGACGACAACTGTCTTCACTTAATATTGAATAACATCAACATATAAAATGTTACAGATTGAAAGAAATATTATTCCATAACAGATATTAATTTTTTTTTTCAAATATAAATTTCTTTTTAAAATTGAACAAACATATATTGCTTGCATTTAAATAAAAAAAAAATCTAACATATTATTATAAATTTAAACATTATGTTTATAAATCTACCGATTTCAAAATGTTTTGTCACTGATGCGATCAAAAGTTCTCAATTTGTCTGGTCAGTAGTATTATTAGCCTTCTCGTTATGTTAGGTCCCGTATGGAATCTGGCTTTCTCATTGCGTCTGTTCAGTGATGAAATCGACCGTTCTCAGTGTATGTCAAATTACTGATGGAATCATGGCTATAGTTGTCAGTATGTGAAATTACGGATGGAAGTTATTGTTATCAGTATGTCAAATTGCTGATGGCATCTAGCGTACTCATTGTATTTTAAATAACTGATGAAATATAACCTTCTCAGTATGTTGAGTCACTAATGGAAACTGACCTTCTCATAATGTTCGGTTATGTTTGGAATAAACTGTTCTCAGTATGTCGAGTTATTGATTGGATCTAACGTTCTAATCATGCCGGATAGTAGGGTTCACAGTTTGTCAGGTCACTGTCTGATGGAGAGTAGTATTGTCGGCATGTCTGGCAACTGATGATCTTCTCAGAAAGTCTGATCGGTGATGAAATCTAGCCTTCTACGTTTGTCAGGACACTGATAGAATCTAGCTTTCTCATTATGTCAAGACACTGGTCGAATTTAGCCTTCTGTGTATGTCAGGATACTGGTGGAATTTAGCTTTCTCTGTATGTCAGGTCACTGGTGGAATCTAGCATTCTCTGTATGCCAGGTCACTGGTGGAAGCTAGCCTTCTCTGTATGTCAGGTCACTGGTGAAATCTAGCATTCTACGTATGTCAGGTCACTGGTGGAATCTAGCATTCTACGTATATCAGGTCACTGGTGGAATATAGCCTTCTTTGTAGGTCAGGAATATAGCATTTTCTGTATATCAGGACATTGGTGGAATATAGCCTTCTCTGTATGTTAGGTCACTGGTGGAATCAAGCCTTCTCTGTATATCAAGTATATCAGGACACTGGTGGAATATAGCCTTCTCTGTATGTCAGGACACTGGTGTAATTTAGCATTCTATTTATGTCAGGTCACTTATCAAATCTAACATTCTCAGTACGTCTGTTTATGAAATACAACCTTCTCAATGTCTGGTATTGATGAAATGTAGTGCCTTCAATAAATCTGTGTCCGTATTGATGCAATCTAACGTTGTTGATATAAATTGTCAATGATGGATTCTGTCATTCTCAGCATGTATGTTTACTGATAGAATCTAGCGTTCTCAGTAAGCTTGTTCACTGATGCTTTCTCACTATATGTCTGGTCTCTGATATATATTCTAGCGTTCTCAGTAAGTCTGTTCACTGATGCCTTCTCAATATGTCTGGTCACT